GACCACGAAAAGGCAGTCACAGGACAAGAAGCTATCGAATACTAACGGCAGTATCTAGCGCGACTGTAGCCCAAACTATCAGCTGTCCATAGAGAAAAGAAACTTACAAATCTACGGTGAACCAGACGAATATTAGGCACTACTCTGACCATGAAAAAAATAAATATTTATTTTAACAAATTTATAAAATGCATTGTTTTACATTTGTATCATGTAATTTTAAAAATAGTTAGTATGATTATAAAAATTCATGTATTTCAGCTTCTGGAGCAATGACACCCACCTTGACCAGGCTTTTGTCTAGTTTTCCTGAACCTTTGAGCATATACAGAGATGGCCCGTTATTTCACTTCTGGGCATAAAAGTAGCTTCATCATGCGCACGTGTTCAGCTCTCGTTTTGTTGCTGCGGCCGGAAGTGCAAGTTACTATTTCGTTATCAATAATATCAAATCAAATCTGTAGTTCGTGTACTGATGCAAATAACATTTCTATAATTCAGGAGCGAAAATGTCTAGTTTTTCAAATGTTGCTACCTTTGCTTTGTCGAAACTTTTATTCAACTGTTTATGGTTAAAAAGAGGGGATGAAATTCTGAACCTCAAGAAAACGTGCACGGGCAACCTCTCCCATAAGTTACATACAGGTTTTCCTGATATTTTACAAATAGTTCTTTACGCACCAAGGGCGTTATACGGGTCCTAATGATCGAGCGGCAATAAAAAGCCCGAGGACCTTCATCCCAAGATCGTTAGAACCACTTAACGCCCGTGGTAGATACATGATTTTATTTTTTACCTAACATTAATTATTCACATTTACTAAATAACTTAGTTGTTAACTTGAGTCGGTTTGTCATTTCGTATTTCCCTCCTATAATTTCCGCCGTAAGAGAACATGTAGCAACATTCAACTGTTTTCAGATTTCCCTCGTCACCATGAGCTTCTCGATCGAGCTAAGTTATTCGGTGAATATGGAGCTTCGTAACAAAGGTAATTATTATTACTATTATTATTATTATTATTATATTATTACTATTATTAATCGGCCTTAGGCTAGGAACCTCCTGGTCGTTCTCAGAGAAGTTCTGCCGAGTTTTATGCCAGTGCAGTTTGATTGAGTACAACTATGCAAATGAATAAATATCACATATCAAAGGCAATAACAAACAATAAAATATAAATCAAAAATACATAAATAACATATACGAGTAAATAAAATATTGTAACATATTATAACATATTAATCAGTGTAAGTAAAAAATCAATCAAATCTAAATCAAAAGACATGGATGTTACGGTAGAAGTTTTGCAGTGGACGATCAGTGCAAACCAGCGCAGAGTGTCCTGGCGCCGTGTCGCAATGCGGCTTGCTAGGGGGCCGTGACGACGACGGCGGCGGCGGCGGCGGCGGCCACTTCCCTAGGGGGCTGTGCCTTATTGCGGCGTGCCGCCTTATAAACCGACCACGCGTGAGGCAGTCAGGCCGACGCCGCCCGGCCGCCCGCGAATCAGGGCACTGCGGAAAGGTGGATAATCCAGTTGTGCCAACTGCTCGGCGACCACGAAACGGCAGTCACGAGGAAAAGATGCCTGGCTCGAATACTAAACGGCGTATTTAAGCGACGTAGCCAAACTATAGCTGATCCATAGAGATAAGAAACTTTTAAATCTACGGCTGAACCAAGACGGCGAAAAAGAACGAAAGAATAAAAACTATTCGCAACGAATATGCTCATTTGACATAATTACATTTACGCCCTGAGGAAGGTCACAGAATGACGACCTAAACGTCGGCACCTTCGCCATGGACGCGGCGTCACCCGGACAGCCAAGTAAATACTGACTCCGGCCGCGGAAGCCTACTCTCTCATACTCATTTTGTGATTGACAGCAGTTGTCTTTCCATATTCGTGAGCTATCGCGGTTCAGCAGCTGACTTTGCCTCTGTCGTTGAAAGTGGGCTCGTCACGCGTTCGGTATCGGTGACAGTTGATGCTCATTAAGCACGATTGAGTAGAATACACACGGCGCCCATCGTGTGGCATGAATTGACGGCTGCATATCTGCAATCACTTCGATTCTCTTAATCCCGCAAGCCATGCTTCGCACTGAATTTTTTTTTATTTTTTTTTTACTACGCGCTACTTCTATTGTACCTGTGGTACAGGCAGAGCTACGAAAACAGCTTTTATACATCTCTGAAGCTATTTTTTTAATCAATTGTTATACATATTTGTTTGGGATTCTAGAAGAAACTAAACGATAGAGAATATCAGGAGTCACAGAATTGCGCAATCACTTTTCTTGTGTGATGGGATGAAATACATGCCCAACAGATAAATTCAATTATATATCTGATTTGCTTTAACCACACCCCTTCAAAGAGAACAAGGCTAGTTCAAAAAGAGCAAGGATAGCTCAACGAGAACAAGGGCACTTACAAAAAACCTATTTACTCATACATCTTTAAACAGAGATAAATATGAGCCACGAAATTTACCGTGTGGCATGATACACCAAAAACTGTGCAAATCCGGTGTAGACATGTACGGAAAGCACGGCGAGATTAAAGCCTTAAGAAGCTTTATTTAGTTTTTAAGAACTGTACAGTCCAAATGGTAACTAACACATTAAATATCATTGCGAAAATCAATATTCCTTTCTTTCGCTCAGTATAGTCTGCAACTGTACTGAAACAGCTGTGCGTCAGAGCGACGTGAATAGTGGGGCGTAACGCAAACGCACGGGCTGCTACGGGCGGTCGCCCTCACCCCCACACCGACCGTAACGTACACGCGAAAGTGAAAAAAAAAATCGGAATGTACGACGTCCGGAATGTGGGTCACCTCGTGTCGCAGGGCTCTTCCGCTCTCTCGTTCTCTCTCTCCCTCTCTCTCTCTCTCTCTCTCTCAGGTTGTTGAGGGCTCGTTTGAACGCTCGCCAAACACCTGATGCTCCCGCAGTAGACTCACCCCGGGCCCTGCCACCACTCACTCCGTGTGGGGGCTCGGGTCACCGGCTCCAGCTGCACATCGACGCGCGTGCCCGCGAGAGGAGAGCGACAGCACGAAAACACGAACACAATTATTACTATTACTATTTACAAATATAAAATATGTAAAATATTATTAATTATAGTATAATTGTAATAATTATATTAATTTATTGTTAAAATATTTTATATGACAAAATTGTTTGCATATTATATGAATTGTACGGGAACCTGATGATAAGTATCTGACTTATCTGGACCCTAAACTAAAGAAGTTAATAAAATTACTATTATTACTATTACTATTATTACTATTATTATTATTATCATTATCATTATTATTATTATCATTATTATTATTAACCTGTTTACCTACAATTGTTTTTGTTTTACGTCGCTGCAACGTGAGATATAACTTATTTACATAAAGTTTAAAAAAATGATCACAAGGAAAGTTGTCCGAGATTAGATGTGAAAGTTTTCGGGCAAAGAGACGTGAGAGAGATGAGTTAAGAAACCGACGAGTAATCACTGAAACCACACAGCCACTATAACAGCGGGCACTCGAATAGACCGGCAAAGAGATCAGCGAGTACATAAGTTCACGGGGGAGGACACGTGCGAGGAAAGAGCCAGTAGACAGGCGAGTAGAGCACCACCGTTGCCAGACCACTCAAACAGCGGGCACCCGAGTAGGCCGGCAACAGCGAGTAGATGGGAAGCTTCACGAAAAAAAAAAATATTTCGCGACCTGCCCATCACACCAAGGGTAACATCTGTCGGGATCATTCTCGCGAGCGCTTTGCATATTCCGTGCATTACGGCACAACGGCGCCGCCCGTGGCGAGACAGAACAACTATCGCGCCGAGTGTGGCTTCACAGCCGGGTGGAAAACCAAGAGCCCAGTTTCGCGCTTTTTTCCACTCCTGTAGCTTGCTGAGAGTGCTAGGATTGCACGCCGACAAATGGCCGTGGTGCGACACGCGAATTGCTCAGGCGGCACACGTTAATTGTACGTTTCCCATAATACAACAGTCCCTGCGGGGACACTATTCTTCTTCTCCTTTTTAACGCTGACTTTTACGGCCAAATTCGAGTCATGGGCTGACGTTTATGTTTTTTCCAGCTGTAGCATGGGAAAGATGACATGGATGATCGACTTTACAAGAATTTATTTAACCGTGCACTTGACGTAAATCAGCTGTTCACGGTTTCATCCAATAGGGAGCTTGAACGTCCTCATAATGACGTCAGTGTTGCGACATACAAGCTCCCGATTGGATGAAACCGCAACAGCTGATTTACGTCAAGTGCACGACTAAACAAATCGTACTATAATTGCCTGCCCGTAAGAGGAGGGTGGAGGCCCGGTGGAGAAGGAAGAATCCTCGTCTCCCCTTGACCTTTGCTTAAGATACGATTTAAGCAGAATGTGCATCATCTCCCTCCAATGTATGGGGCGAATAAGCAAAAGCCCGACTCTAAGAGCGGGAGTTAAGACTCGTTGGGGATGGAAACAACGCGCGCTGTCCGCGGGCCATTGCTGAAAGTATTCCTTAAGATCGGTTTCACCCCGAATGTGACTCTTAATTTTCTTATTTATAAAGAATGGACTAGAAACTCATCTCCTAGGTCTAAAGGAAGGAATGGGGCCAGGCAGGAGAAGGAAGGATCGATGCAGTCGGTGACCCGTTGTAAGGTACTGTTCCAGCATCCACTTGGAATTAATCAGAGGAAACCACAGAAACTACATAACAAAGCAACCAAATTTCTTGCCGGGGCGAGTTGTATTGTCCTATTAAAACGTCTATATCAATCACCGGCTTCGAAAATCTGCCTCTGTCTGCACTCAAATACATAATCTAAGAATCTAGGAAGAGTTCTAACAGAAATAAATACATAATTACATATAATTTTTACGTTTCTTCCGAATTCAAGCTTCTCAGTCTTTACACGTTTACTTAAACATTTTCACATTTTCTCTCCCCCAACATGTAAGAGTGTAATGCATGTAAGTGTGAGTGGGTGTAAGGGGTGAGGTTAGGGCACGGAGAGGGAAGGAAAGATGGCTCGTGCTGCGCGGTACGTTTGTTAGGAATCTGCCGTGTAACTTTTAATGTAAAATATAACATAACTTCGATGTAACACATTCACTAAAACTGTTGGTTGGTTTGTCGGTTGGTTGGTCGGTTGATAGTGATTCCGGGCGCATTAACTACTGAGATCAATCGTTCCGTAAATGTAGTGCATTTTCCCTTGGGATGTAGTGGCAGTGATCTCCGCCGCTCGATGACGAGATCCGAGGTTTCTCCCAATCAGGTATCTCCAACCACCCCAATCAGGATAAGCTCGAACCTCCCGATCGGTCTCCCGGCATGTGTGATAGTGTACTGCATGACAGGGTGTGTGTGTGTGTGTAAGGGAAGAGGTTAGGATAAAGAAGAGGAAGGAAAGATCGTGCGCGGCACGTGGCCTGTTTGGTAGGTTACTGCTCCGGCATTTCCCTGGGGTTGATCGGAGAAAACTACCTACGAAAACTACCGATCAGAGCAGCCGACCGCCAGAATTCTTCTCCAGACAGCAACTGAACTCGACCTAGCTGACAAGCGAGTGTCGAATACCTTGCCACAGTCTGAACACGAACCTAGGACCTCCCGCTCAGAGACACTACACTGACATCAGTTATGCCCTGAGCCAAATCAGGCGGTCACCATCTGGGGGAGCAAAGCAATGGCGCGTAACCACCTAATTTGTGCAGCCCTGGTCCAGCGCGGTCGCGCATTGAGCTTGGCTTTATCGCCGCTCGTGGCGGGGCTTTGGCTTGTGGGAGTGCAGGCTAGCAGGCGCCGCTTCCGGCTTCAGGGCCCGCTCATAGCGCGCACGTGATCGCCTTTCGGGAGCGCCCGCGGCGCCCCTGCGGCCGGATGGGGAAGCTACTCGGCAGAGGTGAGGGAGACGGTGAGCGGATGGTGATGATGATAGTGGGTGGGTGGTGGCGATGGGCAAGTACAGACGTGTTCATATTATTAGCGACGTGGCGAAAAGATGCGAGGACGTTATGAAATGACGGTAAGTCACAGGAGAGGGAGACAGAGCTGATATACAGGGTGATCGGGTGGAAGATCGGAGGATGTGGTGGAGGGGGAAGTAGCAGGGAAGAGGAGGCAGCAATGGAAAGTGAGGTCGTGATTGGTGGCCTGATGGGAAGAACTTGTGGAAGGGACAAGAAGGGGAAGTTGCAGGTGTGGGGAACACACCAATGAATGGAAAGTCGTGATCGAAGAGCTGGTGGAAGGGTAAGTCTCGAGGGAGGAGAAGGAAGCAATGAAGGCCAAGGCCTGGTTGGTGAGATGGTACGGGAGTAAACTCAACGGAGGAGTTAGCAATGGACAGGAGGACGCGATTGCTGAGGTGACGCGAGGAGGCTGTGATATGACGAGAGTGACAAGTCACACGAGAGGGGGCATTAGTGGTGATGATTGGATGATGGAGCTGGAGAGGAATTCGCTGGGAGGAGGGTATAGCAATACAAGAGAAATCAGGGGGAAAGACTTGTAGTGCGAGCGAGTGGTGATGATTGGAAGATGGTGCCAGAGAAGTCGCGGGGAGGAGAATATAGCAATGAAGGAGAAATCGGGATAGGTGGGGTGATCAAGGTTGTGGAATGGAAGAGAAGATGTTTCGACGGAGGAGAATACAGCAACGAAGTCGCGATTGGCGAATGGTACTCGCCATGAAGAATCACAAACCTTCAGGTTGAGATAATGAACGTCAGTAAGGACACGGAAAAACACCATATATTCCAGTAATCTAAATCATCATTTGTTTTATAAGTGTCCAGAATTCATTCCAATTTGAGGATATATACAATCCATAAGACCATTCGCCTACGATATAAATTTCAGACAGAGCTGCGCATGTCAAGAAAAATCGTGAACTATGGTACGTTCCCAGTAGTGAGAATCACTGAAAGAAAAAATCAAAAACAGCAGCATGCAGTACCGCCTTTCACTAACGTACGGCTTTCGTGCTCTCTCCCAGCAAAGGAAGCGTCTCGCCTGCTTCCCGAAAGCGCCACCAGGCAGCGCGTGGAGAGCCGTTGGGGCGAGAGGAACATTTCGAGAAACCGGCAAGGGCTGAATAGGAAGCTGCAGGCCTCGGAGCGATTTAGCAAAGTTCTCTTCCTAATTGCCGCGCGTCGAACGGGCCTGCGTCGAGAAGGAAGTTCGCTTTCACGCGTAAGTTTCAAGTTTTGGAAATACAGCGTGACCCATTTCAATGCAATACGCGAACTCGAACACAGAAGAATCTGCTGACTCCAGGGAAAATATTCACACTTGTCATTTTTTTGGTTTCCGGGCGCGTCAACTGCTTTGGTCAACAGTTCCGTAAGTGTGGTGTATATTGCATTGCGATAGGAGGCGGTTTTCCTCCCCTTCTAGAGCGTGAGATCCAGCGGCGGTCTATTTGTTTGAAATATTTGATCATTTCATTGATGTTTTCAGGCACGTCAACTGATATGGTCATTACCCTGTTCATGTAGAGAATGCTTTATTCTGGAATGAGGAGGCGATTGCTTTTCTGGTGGATGGTGAGAACCAACGTCGACCTCGAGGGGTCGACTTGACGATTTTTCCCCCTCCAGGAACCGCGAGGAAAGGAACTTTCCAGGAACAGCGGGAGACTACAGGCAGAACAAAGTTTAAGATTACGACTGAACCCGCGACACGTGTGGTAGATTGTATATGAAAGTGTCTATACGAAGGGATTATAAGGGAAGAGCAGGGGACAACGATGAGGAAGGGATAATCGCGCAAGTTTCGTGGGCCGTTTGTTAAAGAAATTCTCTGGTGTTCCCTTGGCATTGGTGGAAAGAACCACGTAATCTACTTGAAACTCCCCTAGGGCATGCATGCGTTGTGTAGCATGGTGGGGCATACCCATCCATCATGTACCGCTCTCCAAAACACTCCTTTCGAGGATGCGATGGCTTTCCTTAAACCTGCCTTTCTTAGATGGAACTAAGTGGTGCCTCAAGTCTGCCCTACAGGGTGAGTTGAGTGTCCTAATGCCGCAGAATGGAACTTTGGTAAGGGGAGCGAGAAGAGCCACACACACCATGCGAAAACGCGAAACGGATATTAGAAGAGTTGGGTAAATTTAAACGGAAAAATCTCATTTTGTGACGTTAATCACATATATTTTTTTTTAGTTCTTTCCAAACCAGACGTTCATCGTGGTATGTTTATTGAAATCATATAAAAGGGCGAATACAATTGGCAAAATGTTTCGTATAACAGTTGTGTGTACCCATGATAAAACAACATAGTGTTTCAGCACCCTTCACTTGTTTTGACAGAATTCATTCTCCTGACAAACATTTTGAAATGACATACGAATTACACATTAACAACACGTACATACAATTATACAATCATTCGTTATTTTACGTGAAAATGAGTAGAGTTTCCTACCATTTCTAATTATAAAATGGCGCATCGAGTTTTGTTACTTGTGGAACCAACGCATCATGCTAAAAAATTCAACTAGTTTCCCATTTGGTCGCAATTTAGGTACGCTATTTAATTCATCGCTTCTTGAAATACACGACGACTTAGAAGTAAAGGAGGTTTAGAAAAAAATTGATGGCCATAAATGTGGACTCTATCCTTTTGCATTACACATGACTTATTTTCGGAATTCATTATTTTGATAGCAAACAATAATGCAGTAATTTCAATGGACATTACTATTAATAAAACGTAACCGTAAATGCACATTAATTGACTCGCTTGTTTAAGTGTATTTGTAATGCCTATCATTCCGTCATCTGCGTTGAAATAAAAACTCATAAAAAACATCCGTTATATTGCAATTATTTTCAGTTCACGCGTGCCTCATGAACAAGTAATCACAATTACGGTGATTCATGCCAAGAAAATCCAATGATTCATAAACACTAAAACATGCAGCTTTTAAAAACATCTTGCTTCACCTAAGTACCACAAAAAACAACGAAAATGAGACAAGCAACAGAACGACAACGGTCCATTTGGCGAACGTCCAGGTTGGGACAAAAAGATACTGAGGTGTTATTCTCTCGCGAGGGGCAGTGCAACAACTACAGCCCTCTCTCACGTGTTGGTGTCAGGCAGCGGCACGCCGCTGTTTTATTCCCTCTCGATTTGTCAAGTCTCATTATGAGTTATATCGCTTGAGTACGCGAATGTTGATATCAGGCACGTCACTACTGACATATTCGTCATGCAAGCGTTCTGATTGTGGCATGTTATAATAGGAAAACATAAACTAATACATACATTATGCGATCAAAAGTATCCGGACACGTTCAAAATGGCGTTACTGTGCGGCCGTGTTTTTCATGGAGAGGGCTTGCACCCATTGTTTACTGTGGCACTATCACGGCACAGGCCTACGTCGATGTTTTAAACACCTTCTTGCTTCCCACTGTTGACGAGCAATTCGGGGATGGCGATTGCAGCTTTCAACACGATCGAGCTGTTCATACTGCATGCCCTGTGGCGGAGTGGTTAGACGGAAATAACATCCATGTAATGGATTGACCTGCACAGAGTCCCGACTTAAATCCTATCGAACACCTTTTTGATGTTTTGGAACGTTGACTTCGTGCCAGGCCTCACCGACCTACACCAATACCTTTGCTCAGTGCAGCACTCCGAAAAGAATAGGCTGTCATGCCCCAAGAAACCTTTCAGCACCTGATTGATAGTATATGTGTGAGAGTGGAAGCTGTCATCAAGGCTGAGAGAGGGCCAACACCCTTTTGAATTCCAGCATAACCGATGGAGGGAGCCACGAAATGGTACATGATTTTCATCCACGTGTCCGGATACGTTCGATCATTTAGTGTGTGATGCACTCTTTTCAGGCGGCGATTACCCAATATAAAGAACGACAAATATAATTCCGTTTTCACATGCATTTCAACTTTGAAAAGTCAGTCCACAATAGCATTTCGAAGATACAGCCTAGCGACGAAAACAAATTCGTAGTTACCATACCGGATGGTCATGCAGAATCAGGTTTACAATGAAAAGATTGTAAGTGCTAACGTAAATTGTATGATATTATTTATTAATTTGTTCTACAATAGTTCGTTTTAATTGTGATTTTTCATTTTTTACATGCCATTTTGTCAATTTGTTAGCCAGAATAAATGCATTTTTGCGAACCTATTGTATGTAAAATAAATGCCCTTTTGCCTGCATATTTTAATAAAAATAATTGCATTTTTACCCACCTATTTTATGTAAAAAATACGTCCCTTTGTCCGCCTATTGTAATAAAAATAAAGGCGTTTG